TTCTGCGAATATTAAGGTGAAACAATGTAGTGAGAACAAAATTGTATAGTTAGATTTGTGTGTGATATTGTTTAAAGTGACACTAAGCACCAGAACAAATACAGCTTAATGTAGCCGTTTTGGTTTGAAAATTTTTTCGCTACAGCAGTCCAAACATTGACATTTTAATTTTTTGCGTTGTGTGCAAATCAGCATCTCCTCATAGAGCAGTATTGAATTGATGCATCTGTATGGGGAAAGTTCAGTGTCTCCATGCAGAGAAGATGCTAAACACAGCACTGCCCCAGGAAGAACCTCTAGTAGGAGAGGCCACTTGAGTTGTCCCTAGGGAGCAATGTAAACACTGCCCGTTCTTTGAAAAGACCGTGTTTACTGAAAAAAAAATCTGCAGGGACTGACTATACTCACCATAACAAATACATTATGCTGTAGTTGTTTTGGTGACTATAGTGTCCCTATTAAGGTGAAAATGGCTGAATTGGAAAAATCCCAAGTCAGCAATCTTTTCAGTTTGGTTTTAAATGAGAAATTTACTTTGAATTCTCACTTTTGTGACTAATACTGTAAGCCAATGTTGTCTTGGTGCCTCTAGGAGCCCTCTGTAATTTGCGATTGCAGCATGAGAAGGAGAGCTCCCTCTCATACTGCAGCTCTTACACACAGAGAAAGGTGCTGAGCAGCTTCAAAGCAGAGCACAGATCTAGGAGCAGTAGGCCGGGGCAAACAGGTAAACCTGACCAGTATCTCTTCAGACCCTGGGCGTTCTTACCTGGCATAGGGGGGGATAGACAATGGCACTTTCAAATTGACAGCGGTTGAGAGGGATCACTTAGCCCATTGACAGATACTTGTGTTTTCTTGGTACCAGCAAAAATGTAACCCCTGCTGGTACCTTTACTGCATAATGGTCAATGCTGTCGAGGGGTGTTAAAGCCCTGCACTGCATGCCTATGAAGACAGGCCTGCTGTTGATAAGTGGTTCAAGGGACAGTTCCTCATATATGTAAAGAGTGACAACTTTTTTTTCATTTTACATAAAGTGCAGATTTCAATTGAAATTGGCACTTTTCCAAACACTCCCTTGGTTTCAAGAAGACATCTTGATTGTTTAGATCAGTGAAGCTAAACACATTAGGCAGGCAAGTTGTTCAGAGCACCTGCTTTACAAATACGTCTCATTGAACTGCATTGTTCAGTCTGACTGGACAGCCACATAAAGTCTTGGCTAATTAGAAGTGGAGGGCTTGCATGAGATGTGAAGGTTTTGCAGACTGTTTTTAATAATTACATGAATTAATGTTTCCATGAGAATATATCTACTAAACAGTGATTTTTCAAAATCTTATTTGAGCAATAGTGTGTCCCTTTAAATGCAACTGTTAAACTTGGATGAGTGACTTCAAAAGGCATTTCAAGTAAACAAAAGGGTTTTTTTTTTTCCCCAGATGCCAAATATAGTACAGTGTGGAATGGGTTATAAAGTAGAGGGGCAAATTAGGACAAAATTGGTTATTTTTTTATTTTGTTTAAATTTTTTGTATTTCTTTTCTCTGTTTTATTGAATAGAGTGCATGGATTTTAAAACCTAGTATTTGTTTTGGAAGGTGTAAGATTTTAGTTTTGTGCAATTTGTTTCCCAGGTGCCTGAAGGTTTTACTGCCATCATGAGTGCCAACAACTGGGACCATCAAGGTGACACGTTTATCTTTAACATGACAAAGCCCATTCCTTCCTATCTGGTGGCTCTTGTTGTTGGAGACATAGTATCAGCAGACGTGGGACCTAGGTAATGACAGCATACCTCTTGTGGGTTAAAATTGGCTGTTTTTTATTTCACTTGAACTAATGGAATTTACCCCTCTCCCACCTCCCTCTTAGGAGCCGAGTTTGGGCAGAGCCATGTGTGATTGAAGCTGCAAAAAAAGAATTCAATGGTGTAATAGAGGAGTTTCTCAGTGTAGGAGAGAAACTTTTTGGACCATATGTTTGGGATAGGTGAGTTGTTGTGTGTTGTCAACACGAGAGGATACATAACTGTTTGGTTTGCTGGTTTCTGTCCAGATGTGGCCTTATTTTCCCCTAAACATGCATTTCTTTTATATTGCATTATATTTTTTAGGTTTGTTTTAGTGTGTTAAGGTAGTATAATGTTTTAGAGTAATGCCCGCATGATATTTGTGGTAGTTACATTTTCTAATAGCACATATTTCAGCTGCCATCATCAAAATGGAGGCAGTTTCTACTGCTTATTAATTTTGGGCAGACTGGGACATGTGTATGTCCCAATTCTGCCTGAGATTAGGGCACCAGACTATAAAGGTTACTGTGAATTATTCCCTTTTCAGTATGGGGAACAATGGTACAGTTGATGTCACCATCTTTGTGGGTGAGAGTTTGGAAACATGAAACATTTATCAATATATATTATGATGTATAGAAATTTCTGTCAAGTAGCTCAAACTCCCATTTCTGATGTCCCTCTTAGATATGTGCATTTGTGCTAATTAATTTATAGAAAATTGTGAAAGCGTTAATTTGGCTAGTTTAGCCAAATTAGTTACAGCTACAACATTTTTGGATAGACTGTCAGCAAAATATTTTAGTTTTTCCTGTTATTGAGTTGGTTGTGTACACACCTACAGTGTTATAGGATCACATCATTTGCATAGTATTTAGAACACACCCATAGTTGCAATAGGTCATTCAACTCATATACTCCTCCATGTTTACACCACCTCACTATGTTCATTTTTCTCTAATTCTCAAGGTATGATGTCCTGTTCATGCCCCCATCTTTTCCATTTGGTGGCATGGAAAACCCCTGCATTACATTTGTGACCCCCTGTCTGCTGGCTGGTGACCGTTCTCTAGCAGATGTCATCATTCATGAGATCTCTCACAGCTGGTTTGGTAACCTGGTAACCAATGCCACCTGGGGGGACTTCTGGCTAAATGAAGGCTTCACAATGTATGCTCAAAGGAGGATCACCACTGAACTATATGGTAAGCGTGTAAAAACATTTTATTTGAAAATTCTGTTACTTACTGGTCTGTAGATGTGGCAAGTTTTGGTTATTTGATAGTTCCCATTATCTTTATTTATACATTGATCCCTGGCAAGTTTTATATATATTTGATAAACATTTATCCTGATTTTAACATCATTTCCACAAGTTCCTGTGCAGCTAAAGAAATCCTAGGTGGGGATTATTCCACCAGCGCTGACACCAAAGAGCAGTTGGCCTGCTCTGTACTTGTAAGTACGTTTTTATTTTCACCTACTATATACATCCATACAGAGAGCACTATCTGGCTTGTTTCTGTTCTCTTTGAGTTTCTGGATACCACTGAAGAATCGATACTCCCCACATGTCCCATAAGCGGGGACTATACCGCTGTGTGCGCTTTACTCTAGAGCTGGACAGAAGCTCTTAGAAATTGTGAGTTCGCTACTTTTATTTTACTTCACTTGAACCATACATATTGCACTATCGGTTGTTCTCTCTTTTTATCTTTTATATCCAATACCTGAAGACTCTGTTCCTGTATCCAAGGACGACAGAGAGGACACTTTTAGGTTGGACTTTCACCATTATTTGGACTGGATATTATCCATTTTATCTTGGCGCAGCACTACTTTTAAATTTGGTTTTAATAAAGTATCTTACTCCGTTATCTCCCAAGCAGAGGGGATGTGCATTATCTGGGAGTGTCTAAATGTACAAGACTGTCCTGATTGATTTTTGTAACGTTGTATCCTGTGTTCCACAAGGTCCACGTGGGTGGTAACCTTGTAGGAAAACCTGTGTATAAGAGACAAAAAAAACCTCAGACTGCTGAGTTCCTGTTTTACCCTCAACATAGAGCCTTGTCTCGTGTGGGGGAAAAGGCTGCATCTACACTGGGGATTGCTATACCCTGTATACTCCCCAGGCTATAATCACTAAGCTCTTTTAAGAGCTTGTTCCTGCTTCACTCTCTGAAGGAAGAGAGGTTCACCCACTGGAGCTTGGAGCCTTGTCGTAGGTCCAGGGTGGGTAGGAGATGGCGAGACCCCAACCAAGCTGCGGCGGTTTGTGGGGTCTGTGGTGCTTATGGTGTTGAGCGGAGTGCTTGGAGCCCTCGGGAAGCACTAGGAGCATCCATCAACGGAGGTACCTAGTCGGGGTGCGCGATGATGTCTGTTACACAGACATTGTATTTGAATCCTATAGCTAATATTAAGGTGAATGGACAATATTCTAATTATTTTCTTTTTAAGAATGGTACAAGGCAGGGGTGTCCTTTATCCCCCCTCTTCTTCGCTCTGGCCATCGAACCTTAACTACAGTCAATAAGAAAAAAATCCTCAAATTAAGGCATTTGGATTCTCAGGAGGAGAGCTAAAAATATCCGCATTTGCTGATGGTGTTTTATTAACTGTAACTGACCCTATGTGCTCCTTGGCTCAGGTAAATATGGAATTATATACATTTGGTGAGTTCTCTACTGCAAAGTAAATATATACAAATGTGCCTAGAGGGATATCAGCTACACCTCACTGACGAGGCCCAAAAGATTGTCTGGTGTTGCTGTATCTGTCATACAGAGGAAACTTGCTGGCATTTCAGATCTGTACTGCCTGTACGGGTGGGACCAGTCTGATATGGTTCAGATATGTTCTCTCTGTAATGGCACAAGTGAGCAAAAACTATTTTGAAACCTAAGCTATTGAGTCACTCTTGTACTTACCCAGTCGCCGGCGATTCCACGCTGGCGATCGCAGTATGGGGACTTACCTGGGAGTCCCCCTCCATCCTCTTCGGCCCCCCTGGGCAATGTGATCGCGAGGTCCTTGCGATGACCTCACGATCACATGGACGGCATAGCCAGCAGGGGGAGTGCCTGTAATGACAGGTACTTCCCCTGCTGCCTGTAAAATGTAAAAGAATTAAGTTAACAGTTTAAAATAAAATATATATTTAGATCATATATATTTTTTTTATTATATATATGATATAAGTGTGTGTGTGTGTGTGTGTATATATATATATATATATATATATATATATATATATATATACATACACACACACACACACACACACTCATACACATACACTGTTTATTTTAATATATATATAATTATATTAATATCAAAATAAAAGTACAATGATATTGATTAAATATATGTATCATTTTCATAAAATACATAAATATGTAAATATGTTAAAAATAAATATGTGTAAATTCGTTCTGTATTTTGAAAGTAATATTTGTGTTCAGCGAAGTCTCCCGAGTATAACAGTACCCCTCATGTACAGGTTTTATGGTGTTTTCAAAAGTTACAGAGTCAAATATAAGGCTTGTGTTTCAGTTTTTTCACATTGAAATTCGCCATGATGTCTTTGAGACCGTACGGTAGCACAGGAATGAAAATTACCCCCATGATGGCATACCATTTGCAATAGTAGACAATCCAAGGTATTGCAAATAGGGTATGTCCATTTTTTTTTTTTAGTAGCCACTTAGTCACAAACACTGGCCAAAACTGGCGTTCAAATTAGTTTTTTGCATTTTTCACACACAAACAAATATTAACACTAACTTTGTTAATATTTTAAAACTATTAAAATAATAAAAATGCCCTCCCCCATCCAGTTTACACACACACACACACACTGCATTCACACACACACACTCTGCATTATATACACACACTGCATTCACACAAACACACACTCTGCATTATATACACACTCTGCATTATATACACACTCTGCATTATATACACACTCTGCATTATATTTACACACTGCATTCACACAAACACACACACTGCATTCATTATATACACACTGCATTCACACAAACACACACATTCTGCATTCATTATATATATATACAAACTACATACAAACACACACACACTCTGCATTCATTATATATATACACGCACACGCACACACACACTGCATTCATTATATACACACACTGTAAAGAAATATTAAATTAAATTAATTTTATTGGGATCTAATTTTATTTAGAAATTTACCAGTAGCTGCTGCATTTCCCACACTAGGCTTATACTTGAGTCAATAAGTTTTCCCAGTTTTTTTGTGGTAAAATTAGGTGCCTCGGCTTATATTCGGGTCAGCTTATACTCTAGTATATACGGTAATTTATTTTGTTATGTCATTGTTTATTTCTCTGGGAATGAGATTATCATTTATAAAATGACGAGATAATAAGTGTAAAATGTCATGAATGAATTCTAAAATTTGTATTATACTCTCAGATTGTAAAAACTGTATAATACAATAAAACAAGAAATACTGTTGGGGGGAAAGGCAATGGGAATAATGATGAATTGTAAGGAATTTCTAGTTTTGCTTCTTTTCTTAAATTCTTCTGACAACCTTTTAGATATTGAATATGTGGTAGAGTTAATGTATTAATAGCGTTGTGTACACATTCCGCAGGCTCTGCATACAGTTGTCTAGAAGCTGCTACAGGAAGAGCTTTACTGCGTCAGCATATGGATACCTCAGGAGAAGACCATCCACTGAATAAACTGCGCGTCAAGATAGAGCCTGGTAGGCAATGTCTTGAGTTTGAGACAGATTTATTGTATCATCACACCTGGCCTCATACTGATTATGAACTGTAATGTTTATTGAGCAGGAGTGGATCCAGATGACACTTACAATGAAACACCATATGAGAAAGGTTTCTGTTTTGTCTCTTACCTAGCCCACCTCACTGGAGATCAGAGCAAGTTTGATTCTTTTCTGAGGGTAAGATTTCTCTTCTTTCTATTTGACATTATTAATAACCAAATTAGGTTGTAATATCTGTGTTTCAGAGGTGTGTGTGTTTAGGTGTTGGCATAGAAAATATAAGTTTATGTGTAGACATACATATTGATACGTAGACATATCTGTTTTCAATATCATGTCTTTCTTGTGTGGCTTTATTGGCATTAGTATTTAGCCCAAATGTATAAATATAATAATAATCACACAGTATTTAACCAGGAAAAGGTACATTCAGATTTCTCTGGTTTCCAAGTACATCCTGGGGATGTTACTTTTTGCCTAACATCCAGGGGATGTTACCATTACCCAATTTAATGGTACTCCTTTTATCTACCTCAGAAGGATGAAGGGCTGAGTCAACCCTGCCGGGATTTGAACTTGCGACCCAAGGGTTGAACATATTCTACTGATGATGCATTAACCAACTGAACTATCTCACTAGCATGATAAGCCAGAAAGAGTTGCCTGCACTCTAGAAATCATCAATGTGTTTCCAGTTTCAACCTTTCATTAAGGAAAATGAACCTTGTCCTATTAATATTCAACTAAAGACTGTATTAACTAAACTGCAATCAATACCACCATGACCGCATTAGGGGAAACTCTTGAGTTCTACCCAAAGTAACTTGTGATTTTTAGCTCAAAGACCAAATCTATAATGACACAGGTAGATGATGAGGTTCTCGTCATTTGGTTGTTGTCTGCTGTTATTTAAACAGCATAAAAGTTCATAGAGGTTTTAGGACTGCAAGTAAAATTTTGGAAAATAACCTGTTTCTTTTTGGAAAAGTACATTGGATTAGCCGTATTAGTCCAGTAAAAAAAGATGCCAGAATACCTGGAGTATTGCAGTATACAATGATACCTTTTTTATTTGACTAACATAATATTTCAAAGACAAGCTTTCGAGAGTTGTCCTCTCTTCCTCAGGTCTGAAGCAATACTGATCAGTCTGATAGAGTTTAACACTTAAAACAACTGATGTTAAAGTGTGTGTGTGTGTGTATATATATGTGTGTGTGTGTGTATATATATATGTGTGTGTGTATGTATGTATATGTATATATATATATATATATAGAGAGAGAGAGAGAAATGTGTATCTATATAGATGTAAAAAACAGATACAATTTGTATCTTGTAATACCTTTGTTATTGGACTAACATCATTTTTTAATGACAAGTTTTTGGGAGAACCTCCTTTTCTCAAGTCTAAAGTAGGCCTGTAATAAGAGGGCCTACTAAAGTTATTATAATATTATGTGTAAGGAGGTGTGGTGGGTGGGGCCAACCAGCGAGATCGGCATAGGTGAGTAGGAGCCTTGCGTTTAAATAGGCGAATAACTCCTCCCACAAATTCAGGCCTGTTGGCCTTTCTACTTGTGGTTGGAATTTAATAGATTATGAAATGTGGTAGGTGGTGTAGAGTTGGTTGAGCTGTGCCGAAACCAACGAACGAGTAGGCCTGTAATAAAAGAATGCAAAGGAAGGATGAAAAAAACCCACACTTTAATGCCTCTTTTAAGGCTAAACATTTAAATGCTTTCCTTAGCTCTCGCTCTGGTTGTGGAATATAGGTATTGTATATGGATGACTTCAGTCGGCCCAGTCTTTTGATGATGTGGACTGGTGTGTCTGGATGCTGACGAGGCTGCTCCTATTCTGAAGGAGTGTCCGGAATAGGAAAGAGGGATTGTAGCCTAATCTTAATAGCAGAGTTCTGATGTAAAAACTAACTGATAGGCTGATCGTGGAGTAGTAGTAGTGGAGAGTTAGGTGGGTGACTGTGGAATGTTTAGAAAAGAGTCTAGTATTTTAACTGGGCACCAGTCGTTTCCTGTAGGAAAGAGGGGGATTGTGGTTGGCTGGTTGGTTATGTGCCTATTTAAACGCAAGGCTCATACTCTTCTATGCCGATCTCATTTGAGGATACATATACACCTATTCACATATATACATACACTTTATACATACACACACAAATATATATATATATATATGTATACACATACACACATGAACACAAATACATACACACAAACACAGTGTCTAACAAAAGTGAGTACACCCCTCACATTTTTGTAAATATTTTATTATATATTTTCATGTGACAACGCTGAAGAAATGACACTCTGCTACAATGTAAAGTAGTTAGTGTACATCCTGTATAACTTGTGTAAATTTGCTGCCCCTGAAAATAACTCAAAACACTGCCATTAATGTCTAAACCATTGGCAACAAAAGTGACATGTCCAAATTGTGTCCAATTAGCCATTTTCCCTCCCCGGTGTCATGTGACTTGTTAGTGTTACAAGGTCTCAGGGGTAAATGGGTAGCAGGTGTGTTAAATTTGATATCGCTTTCACACTCTCTCATACAGGTGAGGGGTGTACTCACTTTTGTGAGATACTGTGTATGTACATGCACATGCACATGAACTCATATACACAAATATAAATGCAGAGTCAATATTTAGTCCTCTATTCTTGCTGTTAAACAATTGGATCATTCTGGCTTCAAAAGTTTTTTTTGTTTTTTTTCTTCTTCTTTTTTGGGTAGTTTTAAAACCCCCTTTCAGTACTTTGACTTTTATGTCCTTGCCCACAGGAGTGCAGTAGGATTCATCTTTGTGGTGTTTAATGGATTGTCTGTGCATATTCATTCAGCCATTTAATTTCTGCGTGGTTTCCCCAGTGTAGCATTCTAGGTGGCTTTTGGTGCATTGAATCATGTATACGACGTTGCTGGATGTACAGGATTATGATCTTTTAATGCTGTAGGTTTTGGTCCTGTATTGCTTTGTGTGACTGTGTTGGCAACAAAGTTTTTTGCATTGACTGGTCCCATTTTCTTTATTTTTCTCATCAGTGGGTAGCTTGTTGGTTTAATTATGTAATTTTGTTTTGCCACTTATAAGTTAGTTAAATCACATGCCTTAAGTTCTAGTCACTTCTTCTCTAAGAGTCTCTTTAATATAAATGTAAATTTTGTTTTTCCTTTTCCCAGGCTTATATTGACAATTTCAAGTTCCAAAGCATTACAGCCAATGAAGCTCTGGAGTTTTATTTAGACTTCTTTCCTGACCTAAAATCAAAAGGAGTGGATACAATTGCAGGTAGGTTCAAAAGGATTTTATTATATATGACCGAACACTATATGGCTAAAATGCATCCTTTGCAAGTGTCACAGCAGAAAAATAAACGAACATCCTTAAATTTTACATAATTGTCATTATGTTTTTGTCCTCTGTGATTAAAGTGATTGGCATCTGTGGTTTCTAACATGTCCC